TATATATATATAAAATAAGTAATTGTTGCCAGTAAACAACTAATCATATTTTATACTTTCAAAAGATACATATCAATCATTAAAGAGTTGTACCTTTTTTATAAACTGACTCGCTTGATTAGCCAAGATAGTGTCGCTGCTAATCCATCCATCTTTTGTTTTTGCATAGGAAAAGCCAGTACCAGCGGGTATATCTACGAATATGATGTTAGCTACCTAAATCAATGCGAGAAAACTTCAAGTTATTATCTTCCTAAAATAAAATAAAAACTATGTACGTATGTTTCCATCATAGTAAAAATTATGAAGAATGGGATAGATGTGTGAACCTGTGTCCATGTGGTTGGATTCAGTATTAATGTGGGATTATCTAGGTCAATACTTTCCAAATCAAAGGTAAGTGGACCTATAGGAAAATGACCTCGTTATGATATACAGTTAATTGTAATAACCATACTTCAACCATCAACCTAAATAAATTTATTAGTGTGACATGGAAGCTAAAATATAAGCACATCAATCGCAAAATCTGATTCAATACTAATTAATTCCAATTTCTCACATCCCCCAAAACCTCGTATGATATTAAATTGTAGAGATGAGTCATTCCCACTTATATAATTATAAAATGAAGAAAAACATTATAAATGGTCTATGTACTTTTCAGAAATATGAGTTTAGTCTATATGTTTAAAAAATCTCAGAGATGGTCATCATGCTTTCAAAATTTTTGATGATTGGTCCTTATATCTTACTCCATTAAGTTTATCCATTAACTGAATGTCATTTTCGTCATTCCACTACCGTATCGACCATTTATGACTTTTTTTTCTTATTTAAAAACAAAAAGAAAAAAGAAAATATACATTTAATATATAAAGGGCTCTCTCTCTCTCTCTCTCTCTCTCTCTCTCTCTCTCTCTCCACCATGTCTTCTTCTCTATTGGTACACCCTCTTCTTCTTCCGCCATCATATTCCTTCTAAATCATTTTTCTCTACAATTTCTTTGGCAAAAGCCCTATTTCATCCAATTTTAAATCACCAATATCATCAACTCCCTTTTTCCCTTTCAATTCCTCTAAAAACATGTTAAACTCATCTTTGGTAAGCCAATTAGTGGTCAAGGATTTCTCCATATTTTCTATTCTTACCTAATTCAGTTTTCAGACCTGTAATCTCATTTTCAATCTTTCGATCTACAACTTCAACCTGAACATGCATCATTTTGGTTGTAGTCTTCAAGAAGGCTTCGATTTCTGCAAATCTTCTTTCGTAATCAGAACTAGGGATAAGAATCAAATCAAAACCACTCCCTTGGTTGAACTCTAGTCTACGAATCATTTGAACCAAAAACTAGTGTATAAGTATAAGGGAAAAATTATTCATGACTGCACATACAACCCTCTTCCATGGAGTGTTGGTAGTGGAGGGGACATCGCGCTTCTTATCGGTGGTCCGTTTTCGTGGTTTGGTGGTTAAATTCATGGGTAATGAGTTTTTGGTTTGAACAGCATCTCTTGATCTTTCGAGAACGATTTTTGCTCCTACTCTGATTGAATGGCTGAGACTTTTCCTTCTACTGGTCACTGAGCGGAGGATCATCAATTCCATCACTGCTGCCCAAAGCTAAGCCAGATTTTTTCTCACTGGTGAATAAAGTTCCACACATAGCAAAAGAAGGGTTTGCAATAATTGAGACAGTAGACAACGACATTGAGAATTTAGAGACTAGTTTCAAATGAGGTTTGGGAATATAAAGGGTGATTTAAAGAAAATTTTCAAAGAAAATGAAATTTTAGGAGGGAATATGATGGCTAAAGAAGAAGAGGGGGTGTACCAGTGGAGAATAAGACACGGTGGAGAGAGAGAGAGAGAGAGAGAGAGAGAGAGAGAGAGAGACCCTTTATATATTAAATGTATATTTTTATTATTTTATTTAAATAACAAAAAACTTCATAAATAGTCTTTATGGTAGTGAAATGACGGAAATGTCATTTGATTAACAGATAAAACTTATCACAGTGAGCAATGAGGACCATATATCAAAATTTTTGAAAGTACATGGACCATTTATGAGATTTTTTAAACTTAGGGACTAAACATCAGATTTCTGAAAAGCATAGGGACCATTTATGATGTTTTTTTTCTAAAATAACAAAAAACTTCATAAATGATCCAAGTTGTAGTGAAATTACAAAAATACCCTTCAGTTGCCGTGTAAAACTTAATGGAGTGAGCAATCAGGACAAAACATCAAAAATTTTAAAACTTAATGGAGTGAGCAATCAGGACAAAACATCAAAAATTTTAAAAACACAGAGGCCATTTGTGAGATTTTTTAAACTTACAGACTAAACATCAGATTTCTGAAAAGCACAAGGACCATTTATGATGGTTTTTCAATTTTATAAAAACAAACATTTCTTAAAATTAAAATATAAAAACTTCAAAATTTTATTTTTAAAAAAATCGTTAAAAAAATCACTAATATAGCGATTAGAAGTATTCCTTAAATTTTTATAATCTTTTGAAAAATTTTGTTTTTTCTAACTTTTTTTTATAAAAATTTAAAATTTCAAAAATATTTTTTTTTTCAAAATTTCATGATTATTTTCATTTGTAGATAATTAAACTTTCGCGTAAAATTGTCAAAATCTCACAACTAATTATGAAAACATCATATCATCTCGTGAGATTTTGATAATAAATAAAATCAAATCTTGACAATTTAATTTTTCAACTTATGACCGAAAATTATCCTCACGGTTTCTACTAATATTTGAGTTCCTACATGATATATATATATATATATATATATATATATATATATATATATATATATATATATATATATA